CCCCTTGAGGTACGGGATCGGGAAAGTCACTTAAGCCTTACGGTCAAATAGACATACACAACGAAATACGTTTCAACTCTCGTCTTAGTCGGTCTTTTGAGCACTCTATAAGACACAGCGCCCTGGGGAAAAGTCCCTAAGACTATCGCAAGGCTGACCCAAGACTCTGTCCAAGACTGCCTTAGACTCGCCCCAAGACTCTCTAGGACTGGACTGTCTCTGTCGTGGAGTACTCGCCAAGACCAACTCAAACTCTCTTTATTCATTTTCAAAACTCTAACCAATTACAAAGCAGAAAAAAGACTCTAAGGCGTGGCCTTCACACGTCCAACTAATCACACTAAGTACTGAATACGTCATATCTTTTGATTAATCGTTCACTACATTAATAACTACGAATACCAACTGTCAGAAATAGTAGTCCAAATAGCGACGGTTATCTCGTAATTAGTTCCAAATCACTGAGTCGAGTTCCATCCAAAACTTCAAATAGGCCTAAACGATGACAGACATAACACAGCAATTCGCTAGTAATCAACTAATTAAGTTGATTAACAGATACGCGAAAACAATTTCATCATAGTAGCATGGTGGTTGTCGCATCAGATTCATGATCCTACCTTAGGCTGAACATCGAAAGGGTCGACCCCAACCCTGGGTGAGTGTGCGACAGATTCAATGGGAATGCCAATTCCACTGGCTGAGAATCATTCACTAACGCATGCGAATTTGGGGGAACCTTGGTTAAGGTCCGCAGGTGTTTGTGTTCGATCGAGCCTGGTTGACGCCAGGATAGCGTATTACGATTGCCATTTGATAGAGAAATGGCCGCTCAGCCCTGTCATGTAGTCCCAAACATGAATATGACTACTGTGGCAAAAATGCACTATGTGTCACCACTAGAACTTGCATCTTGCACATACAAAAAAATCAGGAAAGACAACAATGACAATGATCGGAACTGTCGCCTGGCACAACAGCAAAATAATTTCCAATTTCAGTAATTAAAATATAATGTATAATTGTAACAAGCAACTGAATGTTGAACTACCCAATGTTTTAATATTTATTAAACATTCCGTCACCATTAAATTTTGTACGTCGTATGTACGTATACAGACGCCTTCAGCCCAAAACTTATTTGTTTCAGTGGCAATGCAATTGTCATATTCTGAAATGAGAAAGAAATGTGTCATTTTTGTCAAACAGGTAAAACTTTATTTTGTTTCTGCCTTAAAAATGAAAAGTTGAGAAAAATACATGTGCCAGTGCACAATTTGTGAACATACAAAGAAAACAAACTTTTGTATGATTGGTTATTGCGCAGTACTTTGAGCAAAGATAACTGCCATAAAAAGACAATTAGCATAACAACATAACTGTTACCAACCATTGATATATGCTCCGTTATCCCATGCGGTACGAACCGAACATCTAGTCAGAATCCATCCATCATCACGTTTCATCTTGGCTTCAGCATTATTTACCTGCTCGCTATACTTTGCCTCACATTTAATTTCCAAGAGCACTGCAACATGTAGCATATCCCCATACATATTTATTTAGGTGAAATAACTGGGAGCTGTAACATTTCTACAGACACGTATTTTCATTTAAAATCCCAAGTGTGGGAATTCTTTTCCAATGATTTTTCATCAATTTGGTTGAAATTCAACAATTATTTTAGCTTTCCATGTATATTTCAACATCCTACAAAAAGAATGTTGATAAAATTCATTTCACACTGAAAGGCACTCTATATAATAGTTTAAAACCTCATATTTTGTGTGAAATTTTTTTCATTTACAATTTAGTATATATGGAATATGACGATCCACAGAAATGGTTTGGTTTAAAATCAACAATTATTTTAGCTTTCCGGGTATATTTCAACACCCTACAAAAAGAATGTTGATAAAATTCATTTCACACTGAATAGCACTCTATATAATAGTTTAAAACCTCATATTTTGTGTGAAAATGTGTTAATTTACATAATTACTAGAAACTTGTTAACTCTGGTTCATGCAGGTATTATATCTCACAATTCACTGATTTATTTTAAGTAATTTATAAATATGAACAAATGTATTTCATTCATCAGTAGACTAGTCATTTATGTCAAATAATACATTCCATCCTTCTATGAATAGATATATGCATATGGCAATGTCCCTGGTCCTGTTATTGCTTTTCATTCATTTAGATAATTAATATATATGCACTGTTAATATTGATAGCAGGTTGGAAATCTACAGCAATACATACAGTTAATTGCCATTGACATTGTTAAGCTACACTATGTTGAATGTTCCCTACTGATAATCAACATCCAGACTCAGTTCTTTGACTCTCTGACCTATTTTTTCATCAAACACCTGACTCTGCGCTGCTGTGAAGTGGTTCTTCCAATCACCAGTGACTCCTTTGCGAATAAATGGACTTTTGCCATCTTCCCATAAGTTTTCATCTAAAATGAGGAGTTCTTTAAATCGTTTTTTCATATCATCGATGGTAGTGGATCTTATGGTACGTTCGACGTCTTCAGTGCGAACAGGTCGTCCTAGAAACTCTGCAATCCTCTGCACAACGCTTGGAAGGTCTCGTTTCATATCTTCATACTTTACATGCATGAGGTTTTTGTCTACACCTAACCAGCTATCGACGTGGTCAATCCAAGGAGCCGATAACATGCGATTCTCTACAAAATTTGTCAATGTGCCTTCCCAGTCCGCCTGAAGTGCTCCCTGTGCAAACCCTTTTAAGAAATGGTAGTGGGAAACACAGACGTCCTTCGGGTTACGAGTTATGTATATGACCTTCACGCCGTTCTCAAGGGCCTTCTGCATTGGGAAAAACGGAAATGGGAGGTGGGTTCTAAGCAACCTCGGAGATGGGATGTCTTCTGCTACGTTTATGTCTACCACCTTCTGTCGTATTCCGGGGAACCATTTATGGACAGTGTGTTCCTCCAGGATGATAGCTTCTGAGGCACCGCCCACATGACACAGTCCCCAATCGCCGTACATTTGCTTCAACACCTCCACAAGCCAGGTGTTACCAGATTTAGGGAATCCACTAACCACAACATCGCCATTTCGGAACTCGAACTTCTCTACTTCGTGGTTTTCGATCTTGGACTGGTCGAGAAACGGTAGAAAGTAATATCCTTTCACTGTGAATGGAGCGCCTTCCATAGTTAAGCGGTGTCAAGTTTTTACGAACAACAATAAAGACGTAGACAGGTCAGCGTTTCAGCTAATGACCTTTGCCTGGCTTTGTAATTCATGATGCTTTCATAGTACGAGGACAAAACTAGTCCATTGTTATAGCAATAGTTATACCCACAAATTCTGCCTTCTATGCATGGTTTGACTCAACTGTGGAATATCCGTGGCTGTACAGTGTAACATGCAGAAGTTCTGCCGTGGTACATGCAATCAAAACTCTGACAACTGTATTCTATGAGTCTACCGCCGTGACCATGATTTCTCAAATACTTTACTTCCAGTCACAGTCACAATCATACCATTGAAATGTAGATTCCTCGATTCCATAAAGATTATTATTACTATTACTAAACGGTTACATATATTAAAACACAGTTATAGCATCACTAATAACATCACCGACATTGTAGTCATTAAAAAAATAACTTTATACAATTCACGATGTATAGGCTCTAATGCACATGAAGAATATGCATTAATTTGGGGAAGAAATTTTCCAAACCATTGCCATTTTGTTGTATAAATTGTTTGTTTCCGTAGCGAGTTGAAATTATTTCACAAAATTCATGTGCATACTTTTATGTACAATGAGTATAACATTGGTATCATTTCCTATATAAATTGGTTTGGACACTGTTGACTAATAGAATATGAAGTATCTACTCATTAACTGAGTATTTATTGCTCTTTGTTGAAATTACCAGCGCGATAAATCTATTCTATGGCTCACAATCATCTTCATACATGTATTTATTCAATACAATGAAAATGGAATTCCTCTTCTACATATTCAGCTTATGTATGCCCACCCTAACAGCGAATACTTAAGCGGGTTATTGTATAGTATAGTTCAGCTTCTTTCTATGTTTTTTGTTAATTTATACCAATTACTTTACTTTTGTTTTTCCAATATTTTCTAGTATAATCATGCTTTATTTTGTTTCGCCCAAACTAGTATGAGAGGGTAACTTTTGGTTGTTGTTACTCGACTTTTTAGAATTTGTGCATTTCAGTCAGTTATTTTATGACGTAAAAATGACATTTACATTACATTCAATTATCATTATCTCAGCTGTCATTTGCCAGTTTATCATATCATTCTTGTCATGCTAGATGTCAGTTAAATAGGTGTGACACTGCCATGGTGATTGTCTCATCTCATGATATCATATCATGTTTAGTTAATTGCCTGTAATATATTTATTTCATGTCAGTTATACATAATTTTAATTGTTCCTATATTTTGTCACGTAGAGCCAACAGGTGTCGTATATCACATCTGGTATGGCAGTTATTTTGTAAGTTGTCATACAGTGTGAATTGTCAGTCAGATACAATATTGACATGCGAGTACTAATATGTCATAAAGTGTCATGTCTTGTCAATATCGATGTCTTATATCCATCACTGTTGTCATTTGAAGGTGTGAATATAAATACGCATTCACTCTTTGTATACGAAAATAATGTTTATTTATTAATTAATCAATTGAAAATTCATTATCTAGGTTTAAAAAGCCACAATATTAATTAAAACTATTACTTCAATTATAAACATACAAAAATCCATTCACCATTGATTTATTATCACAGTATAATTACAATATTTATATTCAACCATTTTAGTTCTGTAGAATAGATTTATTAAAGCTACTTTTATTAAATTACTACTGTTATTAGAATAACTCTACAGATATATACATGTAATGCAAGGTATTGAACACAAATTTTCTATTTAAAAAATTATTAAGGATTACTAATTTTGAAATTTATTTTACACTATTTCAAGCAAATCATCAGATGCCATTTTGAAATCCAGTTTTATATACATATTTACAAATATTACAATCACATATATATTATATATACATGGATAATTAACTTGATCAATTTGCTTATTTTGTAGCTAGCTTAAGTTCATTTTTTTATTTTTTTACTAATTTTAATCCACATAATGCCAAAAATACCAAATAGTACCAAATCAACAAATAGACCTATCCATGAAGGTAGAAGCCTACTTGCGAAAATAAATCACATGGCAATATTCATTCGTTTATTTTGTACAATCCCATGGCATTCTTTTGAGTGTTACAGTGACATTTTTAGAACAATTACATAAACACAATGTTATAAAAACAAATTTAAAACCAAGATTTTTTGAAATTCAGGATAAGAAGTACACAATATATAATTTCACCAGGCTACAATTTGAGATATGGCATATTATCTCTGCCATAGGGACATATGGTTAAAGCATTATAATACTGCCAAAATAACAACTTGCCCACTAAAATACAATCATTATTTTCTTACAAATTAGGGTGCTGACCCCAAGACAATATCCTAACATTGCCATGGGGCACAATTTATTGTAAATTGAATAAATTCTGGGTATTTTATATATAGTAGGCTTCTACCTTAAGACAGCTGGAAAATAAATTGTTGGTCAACCAACAAATTAGTATCAAATTAATTATCATAAATATATACCAAGTTACATGGAATATTACTGTGTGTTCACTCATTTGTTGCCACACATTACTTAGTATTACATGATTGCAGAGAATCATTTCACTCGGTATTACATGTCTGTAAAGAATCATTTCACCAGTCTCTCTCCTTAGGAGTTCTATATTCTAATCCCAGTATTCTAAAGACATCTTCTTCTGATTTCACTGGTATTGACACACCTTCACTGATTTTCTCGTGTCCTTTTCGAATTACTCCACTTTTCATAGCATGTTCATTCAATGACATTCCCTGATAGTGTGAAAATATACATCAAATGGAATTAATATAACAAGTAAGCAAAATCTTGAATTCACACTTAATTAACCACAATACACTGCATATTACATGTAACTTGATGTAAAATATAGCGTACCATAAAAAACTAAATGAATGAATCCAACAACTGTGTTTGCACCATCCTGATTTAATTGTTGATTCATTTCCCTTTATAAATTTATTTTACACCCAATTAGTTGAACTTTCAACTGTAAAAGGGTCATGAGCAGCATGTTATGGTCCAGCTGTGGAACCATAGCTCTTCTTGTGTTGGTCTTCAGTCTTTGTGATGGTATTTTATTCATTTGATATCTGATTTGATGTCTTTAAATTTGTTGTTTTTAGATATTGAAATTTTATCAACACAGAAGAGCTATGGTTCCTCCCATATACTTGTGTAACACAAACGTACAACACCAAATGGTATTGAAAATAAAAGTACATCATTTAATGATGAGTGCTTGTATGAGTGATTCACTTCTTAACAGAGCAAACATGAATGAATGTTTGTATCTTTGACTAACCTTTTTTCCAGCCAGTGCTCTCATAGACCTGTTAAAATGACTTGAACCAGTGAAATACATTATAGCACATGGATACTCATGATAAGGTACAACTATTATATCCAGCCTTCTATGCTGCAATACAAAAACAAATTACATTTCATATGACTACATATAAGAGATCTCTGATATAAGGCACATGCTCAGTGTACCCAAAATGATCAAATCCTACTTCTGGTGCTGAATTATTTTTACTGTTGACACATTCAGAATGGTATGTATAACTTTAGTTTAATTTCTGATCATTTTGATATTATTTTCAGTCCATTAATATATAATACCTGTACATGTATATGAATATGAGGTTATTACGAGAATACCTCAAAGTATGCACGAAGACAGTACAACAGGAGTATCGACCGACGCGCAGCGGAGGTTGATGTGACCGTGAACAGTCTGAGTAATAACCTTATTATTATAATAACCTTATATTTTAAAAATCATGGTATGAGCAGGTTTGGAAAACTTGATTACTATGACATACAGAAAAATCTTGGCAATGAGGATGCAGAAAACTAGGCTGATATTCCATCTCTGAACTGAATAGACACACCAACACAAATAAAATACGCAATTCAGCAGCAACAGATGTCATCAGAAAGGCAAATTCCAATTTTCAAATGCCAAATCTTGAAAGTAAAGTATAGAAAAGTGTGGAATACTAAAATGACTGTACACCATCCAAAACATTCTTGTCAATAACGAAAACAGGATAAACATTGCCTTAGACAGTACTGTTGTGCTGGGCTGTAGCATTTTTTTTTACCACACCACAGTAATTTCAGCATATGTGAAAAATAAATTCTGGGAATTCAAAAAACAAACAATTAACTGTAAAATTATTGTATAATTGTCTTCCTAATGTCCCAATTGTCAAATCAGGGAGAAAAATTGTCATATACCTATCAGCTGCAGATGGAGGAATGCTAGAAGAAAATATTGTTTTAGCAAAACTATACCACCAACCTTTCTATCTTCACCTGGTAATTTACATACACCAAGATATTTCTTCTGTTCACCAACATCTTCATTACTAACAAGATCGTCTGTGATGAAACCTTTTATGGAAATAAAACATTATTCGAAAAATATACTTTTAAGTGACAATATGTTCAGGGAAGAAGATCAAGGATGTAGTAGAGTTTTTCAGCACATGTTAATCAAAATAAACTTGTTATTATTATTATAGAATCTATAGGTAAATCTGATTATTCTAAGAAAATTTCAGAGCAGTATCCTAAATGGAACTTACTTAAAACAATAGTCAATTTTAACAACCCGGCATTAATGACTAAATTTGCATATATTTTAGATTACTTAATAAATTACAGTCAAGTCTGAAATAATTTTAGATCATTTCCAGATGATTACAAGTCATCTTCATTTTACTGGACGTCATAACATTTGTCGCAGAACATTTTATGAGCATTTATAGCAAACAATATAGCAAAACCACTATTCATTTATCGATACACAAATTAGTGTATATGCACATTTCAAATAAAGAATTAAAGATATCATTAGAAAAATCAATGCAATGGGACTTGCTGTTTTCAACAAGAATTCAAAAATATCATTTTTCACCATATAAAATGATTGTGGTTTTTAACAAGAAGAAAATATCACTTTTTACCAAAAATGACAAAAATATTCACCAAAATTAAATAATTAAAGATATCATTACAAAATGAACAAATCTGAGAGAGGTCCACATGTAGTACCTATATATGTAATAATATCAAAGCAATTGCACTTGTCGTTTTTAACAACAAGTCGAAAATATCACTTTTTACCAAAAATGACAAAAATATTCACTAAAATTAGAGAATTGAAGATATGATCATGAAATGAACAAATCTGAGAGAGGTCTACCCAAGGTACATATACACCAAGTATCAAAGCATTCAGGCTTGTAGTTTTCAAGAAGAAGTCGAAAAAGTAAAACATTGACACGGGCGACGGACGAACGACGATGGACAATCACTCATATGATAAGCTCCGCTCGACAAAGTCGACAGCGGAGCTAAAAATGACCAATCAACTACTGAGTATTACTGAGCAATAATCAGAATCATTCACTTTTTTTTTTCAGAGAATGTGTGTGTGGTATATATAAACAATACCTTGTCAGCAATTTTTGTTAAATTTATGCATTCTGAGGATTTCACTATCTGAATGTAAAAATGAACGTCATTCTGCTGAAAATGCAAAAATAGACATTTAAAAGAGAAAAAAGTTATGCAAAATTGCTATGACTGTTATGTTAGTGTTATATTCTACATTTTTCAAGAATTGTGGAATCTCGAGTCACAAACAAACAAAAATTTGAGGCCTCTGATTTCCTTCATGTCTACACATATTTAGCATTTTCACCACCAGATCCCTCTTTTCATCACAAATTCACAAAATAGTCGCATTTAAAGTCTGCATGCACTTTCCTTCAGAAGATTGGGACAAAAATATCTATTTTTTAGTGGAAACTGAAAATTTACTCAAATTTTGTCTGTTGGCTCCAAAATTAGGGTTCATTTCAAAATATATTGAAGCATTTAAGAAAATAAGTGAAGACAAATTTGGGAGAGAAAGTCTGGTGGTGAAAACATAGACAATATGAATTACAAATTGTATTACATTAGTAAGTTTTTAATGATCACTATATCAATATATGATTTCTGTTGCGCCAAAAACCTGTCGGTGAATTAGCACAACTAGCTGCATTACAGTAAATATTTGTGTGTGCAATATCAGCTTAGGGGGCACACAGATGAAAACAAGAAGATTGTAACTAACTTAACATCGATTTTTAATTGAATTATGAGCTTTCTTAAAATATATAGTTTGATAAAATTCTGTAAATTTTATTTCCTGAAAACATCTACTACATCCTAAAACATGTAGAGGACACACTGGTTTACATTTTTCACATGTGTGCCAATGCAGAGACTAATTTGTAAGAACTAGCTGTTTAATAAAAAAAAAATCTATGAATAAAGTTAGATCTGTGTAGTGATACGTACCAAGCACACACACATAGTCACGACCTGTCCATACCTGTAGCTCTTAATTTTTCTAAAAGTTTATGAAAAATTCCTTTATGTGATCGACCATCAGGGTGTGTTACTATGACATCGACATCACCACATGTTGGTTTTCCACGCCGATAAGAACCACATGCCATGGCAATGAGACCAGGATTGATGGAGAGTGCCATGTCTTTTACCTGCAGATAAAAATATAGGCTGTTACACTGTGACATCATTTGTTTTCATCTTTGCTAACCAACATGCTGTCTTATTAACACGAGCACACAATTGTATGTTTAATAGTAACAACAGCGAACGATGTTATTTTTTTTTAACTGGGAATGACAGATTCTTACCAACCAGCCACTGTGCATGCATACAAATGCCAAACAAAAATAAGTGTGATGGCCAATACAATCTTAGACTCTGCCTTCAAAGTAGGTGGAATAAAACATAGATCACCCACCAATCATAGCATGTCAGTAAGAAATACAATTATTTTTATTGTAAGATTCAACAGTACAATCTGATATGGTCAGCTGGGTAAGGTCAGAACCATTCAAATTTGACTTTCAACCCTCAAACATTATCTAGACACATTCCATATCTAAAATGTAGTCTTCAAGTATACTTTGGATATGATCTTGACCTTGACTCATTAGTCAGTAACACTAACCATTTTTCGAATTTTCAGACAATTAAATTTAAATAAGACATGACGGATGCAAAAATTGAAAACATATAATTTCATGACAATGACATCTGTGTGTTTATTTATTTATCACTCTGATCAACAGCCAAAGAACCCAATTACATATCTGGAAACCTCATTCCTCACCAAGACTGATCATCCCACTGAGATCACTCAATCATTATGATGAACCTGGCTCAGTATTTTTACTTGCACAGGAATAGTATATGGGGCCCACATATTTTATTGTCCCCATCCAATAAAAGGCCATCTGTCAAACATAATTCCACAAGTTTGGTGATTAAGGCAGAATGTACTGCAATTATACCGGTGAGTGAACAGTCAGCTGAGGGGATCAAAACCTCCAACCTGTGAAGCAAGCATGTTATGTGCATTTAAAGATAGTCAAACTCACAACTTTTTCAATTTCTCCAGCTTCTTCTCGTGACATTCTATCAAGAAAGTCATCAAAATGTTTAATTCCGATCTTTTGTTGTCTGTTCAACTTTGCTTTCTCCCTGACATCATCTATTGTTCTAAAACCCTGGAAAAAATTAAAAATTACCATAAAATCTATATTAGAAACCGCATCCCTAATAGAAGCTGTACCCATTTGTTTTGAAAAGTTGAAAACCAAAAATTCACCATTTCTCATATGTGTAGATGCTTTAACAGAAGCCACATCCCCTCTGTTGCATTGCAGCATTTTAATAGAAACTGCAGTTTCTCATATACATTTGACAGTACGAGTAAATTAGGTAGCATATTAGCATGTTGCCTGTGTTGATTTTATGGCAGCACAAACATACCTGTTGGTACAATTCTTGAGCTATAGTTGGGCCCACACCATGAATCTTAGTAAATAAATTAATGGCTTTAACTTCTTCTCCTTGACACACATAATCAATCTTTCTTAGATGACCACTTTCAATAATTTCCCAAACTTTATCTGCCATTTTTTTACCAATACCAGGAATACTATTAGCTTCCTGAAAAAATAAATAATGTTGGCATGAAAAATTTAATGGTTGAGATGAATTTTATCTGAAAACTTACTCTATCAAGTTCAGCATAATCCTTAAAAACAATGAATTAATAAACAGCTACCAGTTATAGACTATGAAATAAATAAATGCAGAGTACCTCCCAGGTTGTTATTGCTTTGTGGTAATTTTTAAGAGCACTGATGGCTTTACTATATCCCAAAGCTCTCCATTGATCCTTAGTATTCTTGTATGTTTGCATCAGAATCTGTAAAGATTGTATGGTAATTTAAAATGAATAATAAAACACACCAAAATGGTACAGTGAATTTCATAAATGCTTGGATGTTTTTTTATGGAAATTACTAATAAAAGGTTTTCCCATATTTTACATTCAACTCATCAAAAATCAGTGAAAATAATACAAAACAACCAAAAAGTCTTTTCAGTGAAAATTAATTCCAGCTAAAATAAACAATCATCAGTGGTACAATTTTGATAAATTATTGTTATGTGATGGTTATAAAAACATTCATGCTTCAACTTATTGGTTTATATACCAGGAATTTTTTTAAACAAGGGAACAGGGGCGCAGCGCCCTCATGCCATGGCCAAGCTCCCTGGGGAGCAGATCTTCTGGCAACCATAAAATTCTGAATGACCTGGGATCACATGTGGCCAAAGTCTCCAACTGTGACCTGTCTGATAGTAATTTTGGCCCCAAGGAAGCCAAAGAATGCTCCATTTTACCTTAGAATTATCAAAAACTCCACACTATCTCCCCCACTTGGTGGCGCCGCTGAATTGCAGTGCTCCCTCTTGCAGTTTTTTTCCAGAAAAAACCCTAATATACTGATCGTAAAATCACTCACCTGTAGTTTATCTGTGATATGTTTGTTGTGATTGGTTCCCAGATTTGATACAGGCTTGGCACATACCCAATTACCTTTCTAAGAAAAGAACACATGACATCTGAATTACAGGCTTTTACAAAAACAAAATCTCACCTTACACAAATTTTAGTGCACACTCTAAATTAGTGTTAATGGCTGAAATCCCAGTCTGATAAGAATTAATCATAAAAGTTACAAAATTAATCATATTTATTCAAATGAAAGGAAACAAATAAACAGTTCTTAATAAGTTTTTGCTTTTAGTCTTAAAGCCTACCTATGAAATATGCCGCTGATTTAAGTTCACAGTTTTCACTGGGGGGGGGGGGGGTTAATCTAGGATTTTGTAACTTTTTTTATTTCATTAAATAAATTTCAATATCATGATTATATCCCACCCCATGGTTTAGCATTGTAGGCATGTACATGAACTGTACATGAAAGAGTTGTATTTTTTCCAGAAAAATCATTTTCATTTATGAATGTTCCATACTCACTGGTAATTTTTGAGGTGATGTATTTGGCGTTGATGTTGCTGAGCTTGTACCTGATGTGGGACCATCAGTGAAACTAGAAAGATAGTCCTCATCATCACTGGGTTCATAGGCACTGTCCTCGCTGTCATAGCCTTTACTTTGATTTGACTTAGCTTCTGTGTGATAAGATGAATCTGTCTTACTGGAGCATGGATGAATTTCATCAGCAACAACAACATCACTTTTGCTGTGTCCTCCAGGTTGTTCATTTATTCCCCTTGTTACATCTGCAGGTAATTTTTCTTTGGATTGCCTTTCATCCTTTTCCAGTTTGGCGTCAGTGTTTACATCAAGTTCAAAGTCACAAGTGTCCACTAATTTTTCTTCAGCAAAGCAATTACTCAACCAGTTCCCTTTGACAATTTTGAGATGAGTCGGGGGCGTGTCCAGTTTCAAAATTCGACAAAATCTATCAATTTCCATTTTTTCGTCTACAACAACATGCGTGGTTTCATCAAGAATCTGTTCGTGTATTGTGCCGCCATATTTTGTGAACTGCTTAGACAGAATGTTCGCTCGCATTTTTCCAAGACCCGCTTGGAGAATAAAGATATTCACGTCTTTCATAAATTTATCTGCCGGCGACTGGGCTTCTGTTTGTTTACATTTCGAAACGTCAGCTGTTTTCTTTCTCTTTGAAGCTGGAAGTCCGAACGCATCTTCGACAGAATCGCGTTTCTTTGACGATACACGAGATGTTTTTACATCCATGTTACTGTGACACAATCTGATATCCGCTGCTGGATTATTCCGTAACACAAAATAACGAAAACAAAAACACACAAAAAACGGCAGATCAAATGAACCGGAACTAGTTCCGCTAGCCTCGTTCGGTTCAAACACAACGCAGTGATATTGAGACATTGTTATTGCTGGCTAATAGCCATGTATGTGTAATTAATAACAGAAATAGGTATATATAAAATAATAATAATAACACAATGATAATGTTCAATTACTAAATAGTTCAATATATATTCCAAATATCATCTTTCGGGTCGAGGTGACAAGAAAATGGCGGCGCCCATGGCGGGAATCGGCGAAGAATCACTTCGAGGAAAAACTTTAGAAAGCCGACGATCTCTAGCGTTTGTCAGTCCGGGGGACTCCGCGCGCAGCTCGTTCTGGCAGGTAAACAAGAGCACCATTTAAATTCCATCATGGCACTTTATTCCATCTTAAGTTTCGTGGTTTGCATGAGAGATTTCCGTAAGACTTCACTGCATGCATGATAATATTTACTCTGTCCATGGAGATAAAAAAAGATACATGCTCTGTCTGAGCAGGGAGCTCTCATTACAGCTCCCTGGTCTGAGTATGTACATTACCAATAAAGCTTAGACTACTAATTAGTCTGAGAATTAAGGTAAATACTTACCTTTCTACCCCTTAACCTAACTCAATCCCTAACTTTTCAGTCCCCTACTTCAATTGTATGTGCCCTTCTGAATAACTATCAAGATAACCTAATAGTTACTAGTAAAAAATGGGGGGTGATCGATATAGGGAGGGATAGGATTATAGTTAGGATTAGCGGGGTGGGATAGTTATACTTTGTGTATTGAATACTATTATTTCACCACGTTTATAACTATTTATGTCTTGTAGCCAACTAATCCTAATATTCGTCAAGAAGTATACAATACCCGGGTAATGAAGGAGATGGAAAGACATAGAGAAAAAAGGTAACACTGAACCTTGAGGGACTGTGGTAGGGATACTTTACATGTCCTGTTCCATATAAATCCTATCATCACAAAATGTAAACTAATATGTAGCATGCGATGCCTGGCGAGAAAGCTCAGTCGAGTAGTTTATTGAATTAATAAAAATAGAACTGATCATAGAACGATGTACATGTAGCATGTTCATGTACAAGTTGATCAGAATTCAAGATTTGTGTGATCCGCTGATCAAAATGACTTTATAGAGCTTGTTTTATCATTTTGCATCAGACATCAATCATCACATAACTTTATTATCATTCCACTTTTATTTTGAGTTGATAAGTCACTAAATTGGAAATGCTCTTCATCACTTTTTCAAATAATAGTTTTCTTTGGTCTATATAGAAAGGACATGATGCTAAAAAATAGGCATTCCAGGCTGTTTTTTATTCTTGTTTTGTCTCAGAAATAATTACAATGTCATCCTCATATACTGTAGTAGACAGTTAACTTTAATTTCTTGGAAGGTGGGAGAACTACAATTAATTTTATCAAATATGTTTGGTAAATCTTTCGGGTCAGATCTACAAATTAAGCATAAAGTTTCTTGGAACTAACAGAATCAGGTACCATTGTGGTATGAGTATTGATTGTTTTGAGAAGACACAAGTTGTCAGTTGTAGGACAAACGTTTCTGAAACTGAATTGATTATTTGTTATGATTTTATTATTCTCTAGGTATGATGTAATACTCCTGCAGGGATTAGGGATTTGTTTTTGACCCACATTTTGGAAGTATAGTTAAACTGAAACACCACACATTTTTAAAGATTTTTTTGATTTGTGCTTATTTTACCATTTATTTTTGTATTGTATTTAGACCAATGCATGGTGTGTTTGATGAGTCGCCAATACCAAGGGAAGAAACGCAAAGCAGAGCTTTGAAGAGAAGTGTCAATGTACAAAGAAGTATCCTTTAAATAGCTGTGATTGGTTCAAACTGAGATAGATAAGGGACGACGTCAAAAGATCGATGTCGGATAAAAAACTTAATTCCTTTAGTTTTTTTCCAAACCCCCCTACCCCCACTGAAACTTAATTGATAAATATTGGTCATGGCGTCAGACTACATTCACCATTAAATACAAATTGATAATCGGACATTAGTATGGCATAGCAGTTGGTTGTCGGGTGTGTGTAAAAAGATTTGACGCACATATTTACACTCGAACTAAACCATTTTTCTGTGTTTTTTTTCCTTTTTCAGTTATTTCTGTCATGATTGGATAGAAAAAAAAAATACAAATACTCCAAGATTGTTTTGACTTCATTAAAAAATAAAATCATTTTTGTAGGATGGAAACTTTTTGAGGTCAAAACCCCCCACCCCCAAACTAAAGGAAATAAGTTTTTTATCCGACATCGATCTGTTGACGTCGTCCCTAACATCGTCACTAACTATTGTAGATTTAATAAAGGTTTTGCTGATGTTGGTACTATATAAATGCATTTGATGATAATAATAATTATTTTATTGAAATCATATTCATTTGCTGGAACTTCCTTCCATCGTCATACTATTATGAATCAGTATATGATCTGTTAAATTCAGCACCAACACAGTGATTTCAGTTTGTACCAAGTGTTAAGCCAGCAAATCTTGGCACATGCTGAAATTCAGTCCCGACTCTATATTGGGACAAAGTTGTTTTTCGACACATACACATTTCAGCATGTCCCGACTTGGTCCGAACTGTTGTTGTGTACTATACTTATGCATAGTTGAACAAAACCTTGATGTTAATGTCTAGCACTTGGTTTGTTGAATCAAGCGACAGCTGGAAATGCCACGTCTGGAAGTAGTCTCTTGCGGACTTCTAAGACACCAGTCAGACAGCTGAGACATAGTACATGTAAGTAATCTACGTAAAATCTCGTCCCTGCTAACCCTTCGCCAGTCACCAAAAAATAAATTATTTTTTGATTTGGTTACAAGTAATAATAACACCAAAAAAAAAGAATTACAAGTCGTGATTTATAAGTGAATGATTGCGAAATAAGTCTTGATATTTCACAAGTTATTATCTTGCAGTCTGCTAAGTGGCTCAACAAGTTGGTTTGTCATGAAAAACATTTGGTGTTTCGTTATGTGCCATGAAAGATTTGAAATACCTTTTATTTTGTAGATACCCCCAAGTCAGTGGCTCCATCCTCACAGTTTGATGTATCAGCTACTATTGGTATGACACCTAGTAACAGATCGTTGCTAAGGACACCAGGATCAGCTACTGCTAATCTGTCAGTTACTATGGTGAGTAAAATAAACAAATATTAGCTGAATTAAAGACTACTGAACTACGGTAGTTGTGACTTACAAATGTAGACTGAACTCTTTGTGTATACATATCATCCAGACGTACATATCGGACATGCCTGGAATATTCATGGTTAAATTACACACATACATGATGTATTTTAGTACACATACACCATGTTAATATAGTCATTCAAAATGGCAGATTTGTGGCAATTTTATTAGTAAAAATGTCCGGAAATAAACTGGGTCTCAATTAAAAGGTTTCAAAGTTTTATCCAACATGTCTGACTGATTGCATTCATACTAAATTTATACATATATATGGGATAACCTTTTAATGATGCATATACATATTTTATATTTCTTTGCTTACTTATTGTTTTATTTGTTATTGATGTTTATTGTTGTTGTTTTTTTTTGTATGTTTATTGACCATAGATAATGTAATTCAATGCATTATTTCGTGCCAAATAAAATATATTATACTATACTATATTACATATTCGGTACATATACATATATACTAGAACACAATGCATGATGCTGAAATCCACTAAAAAAAGCCTTCTTTCATATTGTTTAAACCACAGTTGAACTTTTGGATTGCAAAACATACTATCGATACCAGTATTTTATTTTATTTATTCTAGACTGGATTAGATCAGACTGGTTTTATGTCATTTAAGGGTTCTACACCACATAAATCCTTCTTTGGTCTTATTCCTGACACGCCAGGAAAAGAGATTGATGACAACACGCTTACGTCAAGTTTACTCATGGAGGATGATCCTGGGACTGCAGGTAATTGCATTGAACCTTTGCATGTAACATTTCGCTATGTGATGTTCAACATTTTATTTGTATGTGTGCTCTCTAAGCCAATATGACATGCTAGTGATGCACAGAAACGTTCGGCAATGCCACGTGTTATGCTAATTCACTGTCGCGTCATTAAAATAACAAAAAATCATACATTGATATTATAATGAAAAACATTTTATATATGAAATGAGTGTACAAGTGTAGGAGATCTGAGGCCACAACATTTTTGTTCATGTTTCAAGTCACCTACATAGTAACATAAAATTTTGATTTTTTTCCTTGAAGACCTTCTTAGCAGTCAATAAACTGTCAAAACTTATTTAGGGGAATTTCATTTTGATTTAGGGTCCCCCGGCACCCAGGCAATATCACAAAGTGTCTAAATTTCGTATCACACTGATTTTGTTTTTGTCTTTATTCTTTGTTTTAGCAACAACGTGTCTTTTCCATGAGTTTCTAGACAGTTTTCGGGGACATCCGTCTGCTAATGAAGTTTTTGATCTTGTGTCAGATTATGAAAAAATCTGTGCAGATCAAATTGTTTTGTTAGAGAAACTGATTAGAAAATCAACACCTGGTCAAAATAAGTAAGTATCACAGAAATATAGATTACCATATTTGTGCTTATCTAAATTACCGAGGTACATGTATTGGTCAAATTAAGTAATTTTTTAATGGTTCTGGTTATACAATTTTTGGTTGTATGTGTGTCTATTAGAGATGTGCTTTTAATAGAACAAATGCAGGTAATGAAAATAGAATTTTCACCAAATACAGAAGATATTTTTTTTTTTAAATATCACTTCGTCTGTAAAAATTTTAATCTGTCCTATCTATAGGTTTTCCCGTACTCAGGAAGTACAGAATATGTTGACACAAGAGAGGAATACATGGCGTCTACTTGGTGGTCTGTATCAAGACAGATTACAGACAGATGATGACATGGATGATGATACTCTTATCACAGATGACTTGGTAATTCTTGACACTGTTATGCAAACTTAATTTATAGTCTTTTATTACAGAATGACATTTTTATATTGATTTGAATGAATGAATTCCTGCTCAAGTAACATGCCTTGCCCAAAATTAAGAAATGTGGAAGCGATGAAACACCACTACAATACACAATAATACAATTGCCCATATTTGGACATTGTATTACATCATATCCATACATTATCAGACGATACAGTATTACTTTGTATCACCACTACTTTGTTGCTCTCCATAGGCCCTGCATCGTTTTTCGACGTTAAATTTGATACCGAATAATCATGCAACTGTTCCTTTATTTGCTCAATTACTAGCTCATATAATTATAAAATTTACAGAGATGTTTCTATGAGCAAATAAATATTATAATATATTAGTATGCAATAAATGTGATTATTGGTTTATATGTTTTCCTATTGCCGATGCGCTTCTGATGAAACAAATAAAGTAATGAATTTTCCAAATTGCTGCTTGAAAGTGTTACCAAATTGTATGGAGATCACATGTGCCTCACTTAAAAATGCATTTCTAATCGAGCAAATACAGTAGGTGGTAATTTATAATGTAAAATACATAATTATATGTTTTTGTTTTATTTTTGTGATTTTTAGAGTAAGCGCCTTAGTGAGAAACAAATCATGGATTCATTGTTCACTAAAGATTCTTACACACGCCAAAATCAAGTAGTCATTGATTGGTTGGAACGCAACGCATCTGACCAATTACAGGATTACTATGACAACGTAGAATTTTATTCACAGACTGTTTCATGGTAAGTCCTCTATAAGGTCTTTATGTAAGATCACCTGAAACCCCCCCCCCCCAACTCAACCCCCCCCTTCTATACACTTGACAATGAGTATAAAACAATTAGTTGCTTTGTTATTGAAAATTTTAAACTGGAAAATTATTTTGATGTTTTAAAAGGTATTCGATAGTGGATATAAAATTGAAAATTGGCATATTTGGCAGATGATAATCACCGAGGAAAAATTGTATAAAAACATTTCAATACTTCCTGCCACTGTACTGGGCATGGCAAGGTCTTACTGAAAATGTGTGTGTTTGTGTGTCAATATCTCAGTGTTGAAGTCACTTGCCCATAATGCATTGTAATTGACAGGGAGAACACCCTTCATAGTCTACAACAGCAGCAGCGTGGCATTCCAGGCATACCAGACAGAGCTATAGTATCTTCTATGGATCCAGATGCACCCATCAGACAAAAGAAACCATTAGCTGATTTAGATAAGGTAATTTTAAATTAAATTCCTGAATCTTTCACATTCTCACCAGTGTAAATGTTGGAGGAGATGATTTACCAAACATACTTCTTGTGTCATAGGTCAAATAGTATATTTTTTTTTGACCAACTGTTTCTAACATTTTACTTATTTTTTCTTTATTCAGGAAGATGAAATTCGCCTGTTGCGTTATATGTTTGCATATATCCGTGCTGGTCAGTTGGATGAGGCACAGAGACTGTGCAGGAAATGTGGGCAGGCATGGAGAGCTGCCACGCTGGAAGGATGGAAAATGTACCACGATCCTAATATTGAAGAAGGTATATTTAATTTATATCTGATCCAAGAAGGAGTTAATGAAGTCTTTATTCAGCCATGTAACAACCTGATATGTGGCTTAATGGTTAGCATATCTGCCCAGCATCCGAGAAATTGCTGGTTTGACTCCGATGGTCAGCTGCATACTCAGCAATCCCCCCACAAAAAAAGAGTACATCATGCCGAGGCTCGCAACATTCAGGGTTGGGAATATGGCATTCAGTTGGACGAGTTATAAAGATAGCTACAGGCTACCTTCTCTAAATAAAGATTAAAATCAAAAATCAAATATGATGAAGATCTTGCATGAATTAAAAGATTATACAATTATGCATTTCAAGAAATGAAAAAAGTGGTTTGTTTTTATCCCAGACTGTTTTTCATAATTGCTTAGTTGCAAAGCATGTTTTACATGCACTTTTGAATAAAGCCATAATCTCGTCTATTTCTGTAAACACAATCAAACTGACTAACATGAAACTTCATCACATATCAACATATATTTAATATCAAAGTTGCATAACTTTATTTTAGTTAAGTGGGAAGCGTGATTTGAGTTATTATAATTAAATATTTGAAATTGCTTGTCCCTACTAATTTATAATCTTCATGTCACTTCTGCTTCAGTTGCTGCGAGTGGTGAGTTGAAGCCAATCGAAGGCAACCCACACAGAGATATATGGAAGGCAGTGTGTTGGAGAATGTCACAAGAAGATGAATTCCATTCCTATGAAAAAGCCATCTATGCTGTGCTCAGTGGCAATCTCAAAGAGGTGAGAGTTCCTAGTCTCCATGATTGCATTCATTTCAGACATTATATTTGGATCTAATTTGGTCAGATATTAGTTTAAAACCCTCAAAAATTGGGTGTGTTCGTATTGTCTGAGTGTGTTCGTATTGTCTGTTTGAGTGACCACACTCTAGGGCTATACTGCACTGCAGTAGATTAATATATTCCATTTTAATAGTAATTCATAGAAACATGTTATTGTTTATGAATATCTGTCACATTTTATGACGATATCTTCAATTCTCTATTTTAATGGAAAATGCTATTTTCAACTTATTCATAAAAACTACAAGCTCATTTGCTCATTGAGTGTCAAATTTGTTAATTTCTTGCCGATATCATTTATTCTCTATTTTCGGAAAATATTTTTGTAACTTAGATTGCTCAACTTGGCTACCACAATGTTCTTGTAGGACAGCGGAGCTATTACGACCATTAGGTTGCTTACTGTAAAATGACTAATTTTCACTGGGTTTAAATTTCACTGATTTAGCATTTCAGGCATATTCAGTGGGTTTTAAATTCACGGTTTTATCATTTGGATAATGTGTTCTATGCTCAGTTTTACATTTTCACTTGGTTTTAATTTAGCGCATTTTCCAGTCAGCGAAATAAGCAAAATTAAAACCCAGTGAATAATTAACCTTTTTACAGTATATTCATAGCTAATTAAACTGTTATTCTTAGTTACTTCCAGTGTGTAGTACGTGGGATGATGTACTCTGGGCTTATTATAAAGTTATGGTAGACATGAGAGTAGAACAAGAAATAAGACTGTATTTTAACAATAAATCTATGGAATCGCTACCATCATCTTATTGGGTTAAAAAGTAAGTAATGTTAAATCACCCAGTGGATGCAGTTACTTGAGGCTTGTGATTGAATGTTCAAATCATACTATGAATTATGTGTTGTCTAATAAGTAAGCTTCCCACATCATGATTGAATTTGCCTTTAGGGTATAACGTTTGGTTTGGTGGATACATTTTTACCTTGTTTAAGATTCAGAAGTTGTAATTTAAAACGGGGGAGTCGTCACCTGCGCATGCATCAGGTGGCCATAGTGTGTCATTGTTTACAAACATGTGTCTATCCATGAGCCTTTGCGTTTTTAGCTTGTTGTTATCATCACTTGGACTCAATTCCTGCACATGTGTAGGTGACGACCCTCCTGTTTAAACAAGTCCTGGTTAATATCAATAAATACTGCATTAGATTTCCATGATGCCATTATGATTAGATAAATAGTGACATAACCCTGTCATGTCCATCTTGCTTCAAACGTGGAAATAAGTTGTTTGTGATGAGTGCAATTTACAGTTGTTTTACGCATTGAACTTGAAATAATAAGAACTTAGTAATTCAAGTATCTGTGATATATGATATACTGTAGCTAATGTATAATAAATATTATGCATTATTTGGTGTGTGTCCAGATTGTATGTGAGTTTGTTATAATCTTTTTTTTAAGTCTTTGTTTACATTTTGCACATCCAAAAAAATAAGTTGTATTACATTTACTGTGCCTGCCTTTACTGTTTCAGTTTAACACCAGAAACTGTATTCCAAGAACTACAAGCATATCCTAATGAGGTAAGCCAAGCCAGTAAATAAAAACATCCTGAGTAATCCACATCAAGGAGTGGTCTACATCATGAGTAATCCACATCAAGGAGTGTTCTAGATCATGAGTAATTCACATCAAGGAGTGTTCTAGATCATGAATAATTCATGTCAAGGAGTGGTCTAGATCATGAATAATTCACATCAAGGAGTGTTCTAGATCGTGAATAATTCATGTCAATGAGTGGTCTGGATCATGAATAATTCATGTCAAGGAGTGGTCTACACTATGAATAATGTCAAGGAGTTGTCTACAACACGAATAATTCATGACAATGAGTGGTCTACATCATGAATAATTCATGTCAAGGAGTTGTCTATATCATGAATAATTCATGACAATGAGTGGTCTACATCATGAATAATTTATGTCAATGAGTGGTCTACATCATGAATAATTTATGTCAATGAGTGGTCTACATCATGAATAATTCTTGTCAAGGAGTTGTCTACATCATGAATACTTCTTGACAATGAGTGGTCTAGATCATGAATAATTCATGACAATGAGTGGTCTACATCATGAATAATTCATGCCAAGGAGTGGTCTACATCATGAATAATTTATGACAATGAGTGGTCTACATCATGAATAATTCATGTCAATGAGTGGTCTACATCATGAATAATTCATGACAATGAGTGGTCTACATCATGAATACTTCATGACAATGAGTGGTCTACATCACGAATAATTCATGTCAATCAGTTGTCTACATCATGAATAATTCATGTCAAGGAGTGGTCTACATCATGAATAATTCATGACAATGAGTGGTCTACATCATGAATAATTCATGTCAAGGAGTGGTCTACATCATGAATAATTCATGACAATGAGTGGTATACACTATGAATAATGTCAAGGAGTTGTCTACAACACGAATAATTTATGACAATGAGTGGTCTACATGAATAATTTATGTCAATGAGT